GGTAATTGTGACTGTGTGACATCTAATCCACCCGCACCGCCGCGCTCGCTCGTTTCCGCTTGCATAAAGTTTGCTAATGCGCTGCAGTAAGTCTTGAACCAGGCCTGTTCTGCCTCGGACAACGATTGTCGTATATCTGTCGGTTAAAAAGGTCAGTCCGTCGCGTTTTTATACAAGGGATATGGTTTAACAAGTATATTACCTAATAAAAATGCAACTCAACGTCAAAATTTATACTCCTTTGAGATGTGAACATCATACACTTTCAGATAGGCCTTTTGGATTCTCGTAATTTGCTACGCATGCCCAAGTTTCATTGCCTTCCGGGTCATACAGCTACATCGAACCGTACGACCACAACTCTGACTGAGGGTAAACTGAAAGTGTTTTGAACAGCCCTTCGTCATACAGTGAGCAAATGATCATATGCATTGTAGCAATGTCAAAGTGCTATCAATTGGAGAAGTCGGTAATACAGATCCAGAAAGAATTCTAGAACAGATGAACTATAAAACTTGCCTTTTAGATTAATACGTCAGGTTTAGCACTATTAATGGTCCTGACTGGAAAATTTCAGCTTGATGTGTATTGCAAACTAATATATATTTGAGATTTATCCCCAGAGAGCAGATAACCCCACAGACTTCACGTTACGGACTTAGAAATCGACAGTTTCCATTTTAAACACAATCGGAAGAAATGTTTCTGTGCAAAAGCTGTGAAGATTGCTTTGACGATGACACTGGAGTGATGAACAGTAGTGAACCCCATGGTCACGAGAACCCACTGTTTCCACTACAGAAACCAGATATGGGATTCGGCGTAGCGAACTGCACGCGGTTCTGAGTGGGACGGTATCCAATTTGTCTACCACTGAGGATTAGATACCCTGGGGTCGTAAACACACGGCTCTAGGCGTTCATTGAAATGGGCAGGGAAAATACAGCAACCAAGACCGTTGCATAAAAGTGCATAGTCGTTCGAACTGAGTTGAAACACCGATAACGTATTCATCAATTTGTTTCGAGCAAATCCTGTTGCGTGACTCACGCCAGAGCATGCGACAAAATGAGGTCCAAATTAAAAAAATAATATGCTCCACAAGCGAACAGAATAGGATGCTATGTAATGCTGGGGAGAAGAAATATTTTCAAGACTTTAGAAACCAGACTGACTTATCGTGTCTGAATTATAACAAATGCACGATAAATAGGTTTCGCCTCTTCAATATTACCACTAATGACTCCTTACAGACGATCTCATGTGGCTTGTAATACTGATAAGTTGCACCACAATTCCTAATTTTGTGCGAGATTTCTGTAAAAATGATTAAGTGCGGAGAAACCGTAACAAGTAAAGAACACAAAAGTCATCATACCTTTAGGTAGAACAGTACCAAACTGCCATCGTAAACTTTTTATGTACATTAACCGGGCATGATGGTACGCAAGAAGACAACGCTTGTTGCGTTCCAGAACTGCGTGCCGAACCAGTACGCATTGAATACGACCAGCCTGATCTTCTGATGCAGATGAAGTATCAGCAGCGGAAACCAAAGAGACATCGCGGTAGTTTGCTTCGTATAACGACTTCATCTCTTCAAGACATATCCGAATACGTTCCTCGTTATAGGCGGGTAGACGACATGTTTGAGATCGTTTTAATTCCTTTATCAGATGCAATCCCGATTGCGCTAACATCGCTTACTCGTTATCTAGGAAAATCAAGGAAAAGCCCATTGATCATTATGCACAAAACGATATACACATATCATCGCATCGCGGAAAAGCATAGTGCCGATGTAATAATGGCAGAGAAATGTGAGATCGGGGTTCATAATAACCAAAAGAACAGGCATACCGTAATGCTTTTGGCATTTTCCCGTGTTAGTTAGTCATTTAGTGGCAAACAGCATTCGTGTCACTGGTGTCTACCACGAGTTATATTTCTGTATCTCTAACCGGTGAGAATCTCCGTCCCTTGATCATGGACGGGCTAAACCATGGAACGTTTTTCTTTTTTCATAAAAATTATTGTACCAGGATTTGTTTGGCACACATTCTGGGTTCAGATGTGTGTGAAAATAAAAATAATAAAACCATTCACATCCTATGCTGAAACCAACTTATTTAAGCCGCTACTCCATTTGTTATCATCATTGAACGGTGAGATGCAGAGAAGTGAACGTCGCCCACCGTTGCCAAGCTCTCAATGTACATGAAGTAGGCGAGAAAATACAAGATGAATAGGGTTTGGGCCTAAATCGAAGAAGGCAAAGGAAGTGAACCTCTATGGTCAACACAGAGTACACAATCTAGGAGTGCATACAAACCTTTTCGAGCATTCTGACCTGATAAGAAATGACAACACTAACGCCATTGCTGTCGGTTAGTCACCATATTCTTCAGTGTCTTCAGCCAGCCAGTTGCAGAGTCTTTCGGATCCCAACCTGGAAGACGGGAAACACCGACTCTACCTAATCGCCCTGTGCATTTCTTCATGCCTCGCTTCCACGTCATGTTGACTTCCACGCGGTTTCTTCCAATCTGGAGCCGCAACTGCGAATAAGGCGCGGTGCGGCAGACGGTGACTGAACATGCGCAATACGTGTCCCAGCCAGAGAAGCCGACTAGTCTGAATTCGATGGGACAACGAATTCTCCATTACAAGCTCGCTCCATCCAACCCACACCAAACTACGTATAAATCGGCAGTCGAATACTTCAAGACGACGAATATCTTCCACGGGCAAATTTAGGGTCTCGCAGCCATAGAGCAGAACTGACCGCACATTGGCGCAGTATACGCGATCCTTCAGTTTCAACGAAACATCGCGTCTGCACCAAGGGTGTTTCAGTCCTACGTAAACTGCTCGAGCCTTGGAAATGCGGGCGGTTACTTTATTAACTGCTACCGTCATTTGTAACGCAGCTACCCAAGTAGGTGAAACATTCCACTACAGCTAACTCTTGAACGTTAAGCATCAATGTTGGGGTAGACGACACCCAGTTTTGTAGCATCATTTTGCACTTTGAAGGTGCAAAGCGTATGCCGAAAGGAGTTGCAGAACTTGCTACTCTGCCAAGAGCGCTTTGCGTATCATCCATAAATTCGAACGGGCAAACAATGCCGTCCGTGTACCCTAAATCGTACAGCTTTTTGCCAGCTGCCCATTTCTCGGCAAGAGCAGAGCTGCATGTGTTATGTCGCCAAATTGTTATGTTTTGCGCGCGTATATACGTTGCCTACTATTAGGTTACACAGTACTATATCACAGGAGAACACCATAAGTGCAAAGAACCCCAAATATAACACAGCAACAATAGTAGCACACGGGTAACGAGAACAACGGACTAACACTAAGTCCGTGAGCGGATGATAGTTCTAGGAGCAGAAGTTACCTAGGCGAAACACAGGATACACGGTCGGTTATCGATCTCCCAAGCCTCCCAAAAACACGCGACTTCAGCAGCACGGGATCTTAACGCTGTTGAGCACAAATCACAAGACACGAATCGTGCGTCCATTCACATGTTTTACTCTACTGCTTATATGTGACAGAAAATAACATTGATCAATGCAAGAAAACGAATGTGCCAATGAAGTACACAGTGAGCAACGTTTAACCGGCCATAGGCTGCGGATCAGACGAACGGAGAGAGTGAATATTGCCGTACTACGCAATATTATTGATTTATCTCCGCGAGATTAGTATTGTTCCGCGATGACCCTAATTTGAGTCGAATGTGTTGTAAAGTTGTTTGATTTTGTACACAGAATTAGCAAGCATGCAGCTGCATTTTTCTTGAGACGAATGGCATTGATCTTCGTCCCAACAGTATGCTACTGAGCGCGTCCACAGGTCGTGGATAGGGGGACGGTCGCTAACGGGCGGTTAACTGTGAATAAGGTGGGTTTATTCTCACTGAATAAGCGGTCGCGGACGACCAGCGATAGTGCTCGAGGATGCGGTGGGTTTACCACTTCGCAAGGGTTCTCCACACAAAACACCACATGTATCTTATGACAGCACTGTGAAGTGGTGAGTGTAGTCCGCCATTGCCCCCTTGTCGAATTCCATCAACCCGACAAGGTCTTCCAGAGAAGGCGAATGAACCAGCCGACTGGTCACCGGATTATCTGGAACAACACTGCTGCCTTGTAGCTCGCGCTTGGTTGCGTAAAGGCTAGAGTGCTTCCTCGAACAAGGTCTACTCTGGACTGGGCGACCGAGTAGTACAACAGCCCACAATGCAAACAATGAACTTCAACCTAATCAATAACTCGCTCTTTCTGTTCTCACGCATGAAAAACGCTTTACACCGTGAACATCTTCCTTTTTCCAGCTTTTCCTCCACCTCACATTTACCCCCTCAAACATTACTATTATTATCAAGATCTCCAGACAACCGTACTGCCAGTTGTGCCTCCGATCGAAATTCCATCCTTTTTCCCTCGCGTCCTGCCTCGAATGGCCTCCAAGTCTCACTGAATCTTCCTCCACCAGTTGAAGCTCTTCTTCGTTCTCGATGCCCATTCAAACTAGCCACATTTAACGTGCGTACCTTGATGCGTATAGGAAAACAGGCGTGTTTAGCTCGTATCCTCGAGACCCTAACCATCGATGTGTGTTGTATCCCAGAGACTCGCATTCAAGACTCTAGCTCGGCGAACAACTGAACATCAAATATATGTATACATATATATATATATATACCTCA